TCAGAAATATATTTTTCCCTTTAAAAATGAAAATTACTCATAACTCAAGAAAGTCTTTACCAGCTGGATTTTGAAAGCTAATGAAAAATCTTAAGACAAATGCATTTTTTGTTTTGATTGAACTTACTGTTTTCAAGGTTCTGACACTGAAGGAGAAGAAAGTAGGAATTCTGATATGACCTAGTTTACTTTTCTGTAATACGTATTTTGTCTTTCAGTAGTTTTGGATTTTTGGAAACATTGTTCATATAAGCCAAAAAAAGTGGTTATTCTGAAAATTAATAATGATTTTTAAATTGAATCAGTTGGATACAAATGCTTGAGGAATAAGTTTATTAGGCTTCTCTCAAAGATCCATTGTGGCAAAAAATATATACATATATTAAAAGCTCAGCATTTTTATAGCATTAAGAGAAATGCAGATTTTTTTAAACATGAGAATCCTGATTGTTTTCTAAAACCTAAACACAATGCAATATTTTTGTAATTGTTTTTGTTTTGCTTTATTATCACTTTTATTCTATGTGGTAGAGACGGGAGAAATAATGGAATGTAGATAAATAAGCCAGATTATACTACACAGTTATGAAAGTTAGGTCACAAACTTGTCTGTGAGTTTCCTCATCCAGGGTAGAAAAAAATATGATTAATTGTCTTAGTCTGTTTGGGCTGCTATAATAAAAATACCATAGACCAGGTGGCTTAAACAACGTTTATTTTTCATAGTTTTGGAGGCTGAGAATTCCAAGATCGAGATGCCATCAGATTTGGTGTCTGGTGAGAACCCAGTTCCTTGCTCATAGACAGCCGTCTTCCCACTGGTGGAAGGAGCAAGGGATCTCTCACTGGTCTCTTTTATAAGGTCACTAATCTCCTAATGATCTAATCACCTCCCAAAAGCCTCAACTCCAAATACCGTCACATTGGGGATTAGGTTTCAACATATGAATTTGCAGGCACATAAACATTCAAACATTCAGTCTATATCATTAATTAAATGATTCATAGTATTTGTGAGGAGATAATATACTGGTTTCTCAGATAAAACACAATCCTTGCTGGTATAAACAGTGTGTTAGGGCAGTGGTTTTCAACATGTGGTCCCTGGATCACATGTGAACTTATTAGAAATGTAAATTCTTGGGCCCTACCTGAGACCTACTGAATCAGAAACTCTTGCGGGTGGGACAGCCCTCTAGATGATTCTGAGGCATACTCAAGTTTGAGAACCACTGTGTTAAGGTGGAATAACAAATTCTGTCTGGTTGACTTGTGACTAGGTTGAGCAAGTCATTTTGAGCTAGGCCTTCAAGAGTGACTCAGAGTTTTGTACCATAATTCTTCCTCCAGCTGAAAAGAATTTGATATATTTAGAAAACAAATGGATATGACATTGCAATGTTATGAAAAAGAGCATTAGTTTTGGAATTTCATATAGGATGCCTTCCAGGAGACTAATTTGCATTACACACCAAAAGCCTAGAAATTCCACTTTTAAGAATTTATTCAAAGGAAATAGTTGTTCAAATGTACAAAGATGGCTGTATAAGAATAGTTACAAAGGCACTGTTTTAATAGTGAAAAAATGAGAATCTACCCCAATGTCCACTGGTTAAATAAATTACATTACATAATTCTGATGGAATTCTAAGTATCCATTAAAATGATTATTTAGATGTCTATTATTGACAAGATTCTAGTTCGTAATAATTATGATTGAATATAAGCTATGATTATAAAAGAATATGTGTATATAAGTCGAATTTGGTTAAAATACCTATATATGTATTCATTTATAGATCCATAGGCATAGAGAAAAAAAGAAGGCTGTACACCAAAATGTTAACAATGGAAATATTGGTGATAGATATGTATAGATTTTGGGTTGTTTTTGCTTATCTCCATTTTCTAATGTGAAACTCTACTCCTTGTGTGAAGAAATAGTGAAAGTTTAAAAACAACCAAGTCTAAGATGTCCAAGCAGACTCTTTACACAATTATATCATTAGGGACTAGAAATTCTCATTCCAATTTTAAAAATCACTATTTGTCCTGGAATATTTGGAAGGAACTAATCCTTGCTGTAACAGTTCACTGTCTAGGTTAGTGTTCTAAAATCTGGCATTAGTTTATTTCTGATAGTTTGTATTATTAAATAATTACAAAAATATGGTTTTCATCTTAGAAGTTCCTGGAAAAGTAAAAATTGCTCTGTAGTGGGATTCAAGAGATCCTGGTTCAGCCTTTGCCACTAATTTTCTATGTGAATTTGGAAAATTTAATATCCCTGTTTTTGGCCTCAGTTTCCTCATCTATAAAAAGTGGGAAGATCAAGAGATCTTGAAGGCCTTTAACAGCTTTAATATTCTAGGAATCTATAATGTATTTAGAACCCAGACTATTTTTTAGAGAACTATATGAGAAAGTATGGAAGCTAAAAAAAATTAAGTAAAATAAATCTAAACTCTCTAAAATGCCCTTTAAAAGATTCTTCTTCTGATGTTAGATGTCGTTGATACTTCTCTCCTTTAGTATGCTGTATCCTTTAATGGAATTTTCAAATAAATTAAGTGTTAAATATCAAAAGATATTTTAACGTTGGTATACTCATGACACCCGGTGGTCAAATTAAACATCACAGTTACATTCTAATTCCCCAGACATTCATTCTCTTCGTCTCAGTAAGACTTTTTTCCCCCTGATTCATCATTCATCATGCATTCAGTCATTCACTCAACAAACATTAGTGGATCCCTAATATGTTTGAGACTTTACTACACACCCTACTACGGAGGAAAGGAAGAAGTAAGAGAATGAGTCTGACACGTAGGACATTGTAATCTATTTAGGGGAAGAAAACAGACTCCATGGAAAGTCAAATAACCACAGCATGTTGGGTATGGTAAGTGTGCTTTCGCTAAGGAAGATGATCAGAACTATGGATATTATGAGGCCATAGGAGTGACTTGTAGTTTAGAGAGGTCAGGGAAGGCTTCTAGGAGGAAGTGAGTCTTGCTTTTCTTGGGGCCATAGTTTTCCAATCTGTAAAATAGTGGTAATATTTTATTGTCGTGTAGAATTGCTGTGAGGGATTGATTGAGAGCCAGTATATAAAGTACTTAGTATTCACTTTGCCCAAAGTGGGCATTCAGATTTTTTTATTATTATAGCAAAATCAAACGTGATCAGAGAAGACTTCATGGGTATTAACTATTCCCTAAATTTTATTTCAAGAATGATTCTGGTTCAAGTTTACATGTTTTTTTGTTTAGACTGAGTATACAGAACACGAGATAAATTATTTTAGTTAGTTTAGTGGATAAGCAAACAAACCACACACACACAAATAGTGTTGGCTTTATTTACAGTATTCTAGCCTAACTGGCCGATTCAGCAAAATAGTCAGCTCAGTAGAAATAAAAAGTTCGAAGTAGTTGTTTATGTGGATGAGCTGGTTGTTTGACTGCAATGAACTGTCAGTAAATACAATCTATCTGAGAACTCCCTGTAGTCAGTACAAAGGCATGAAATAGGTGTTTGGCACTGTATGAGCTGTGTGTAGGTTGAATGAATTTTTACACTTTTTAATTGGTTGTGTTTAAGGTTGAGAAGGCGCTGTCTTAGATCTCATATGGCTTTCAATAATTAATGCTAAATCTATCTCAATTTCCCTTTAATTTCATAAAATGTTAAACAAATTAACTGCCTTTGCAAGCAATAAAAAGTACAAGGGAGTAATAAAATCTCATTTATCCTTTTGTTTTTCAATCAGATGCATAAGTCATATTTCCTAAAAATATCAAACATTTTGGTAATTAAACCATTTTCAAGGGTAAAATTAAGTTGTATTGCAGTGGCTTTTGGCCAAAAGCAATACCGTTCTGATGCAAAAGAAAACCAAGAACAAGGACCATGACATATTAGGAATGAATGTTTAACCTGGATAAGGGAAGATTTGAGAGAGGACAGGATTGCTGCCTTCAGATACTTGAAGAGTTTCATGTGCAACAGGGAGTAGACTTTATTTTACTTGGCTTTGCTACGTCCAACTAGGTTGAAATGACAGGGATACAGATTTTGACTCACTAGAGAGAAGAACTTTCTAACACTTACATTGTTACAAATGTAGCCATCCTCATTAATAACATTTCACTGAACTTGCCCTGAGAGCTGAAGCAGAGATAGCCCCTTTTGCTGTATCTACTACCAGAGACCAACTAGTCCCTCACAGACTCTGGTAGTTGTTTGAAATGGTTGCAGGGATAGCCTCCATACAAATATGAATGTCTAAAGCTACCATATTTCTATTAATAAACACAAATCTTTAAAGTTGCAGAAGCTTCTGAACAGTGTCAGGACGTATAAGCAGGACTAATTTTACCCTCAGCCAAATTCTGAAGGAGGCAAAGGTTATCTGAGTTGCACCACCTTTTACAAGCCCCTATCCTTCCAAGGCATGGTGACCTGTCAGCGGGTCCCCAGGCCCTTATCCCATGTTTCATTCCCAAAGGTACATAGACGCACCTCAGCAGTCACCTAATCCCTGACAAGGCTGAAGTCGAAAATTAATTAAATTTTCTATCTCCCAAGGTTGATAATAGGGAACTCAGGTAGATCTCAACCTTTGAAAATACAGATGGAGACAACTGTAAAACTGAAATGTGGAACCCCGCAAGAGTTGGAATGTATTTCTGGGGGCCGTTTTCCAGTGAGGTCTTTTTTGTTGGTTATCTCTGTAAGTTTGACTACTTCTTATGACAGAGAGGAAAATCTTACTGAAGTTATTGCCAAAGTAGTAATCTTTTTGATTCCTGGAAATATATTCCACAGCACTGTTATCCTTTTTAGATTGGCATGATATTTTCAGTTTACGTAAAAAAGATCTTTTGAATTTATGAAAGTTCTCACTTGAATACTTCTTTGGTAGGAAACAAATATATTTATATACCCCAACATGGACTGACATGGCCTTGACTCTACTTTTCCTCTATTTTCTGCAGAAATCATCACTCTAATGCTTTCCTTAAGGAAGGAACATAAATCCTCAAGATGGGAAGTAACAGCACAAACAGTACAAGAACAAAGTGCACTGATCTACACATGCCGTTTCAGTACTCCCTCTATGCAACCACCTACATCCTCATATTCATCCCTGGTCTTCTGGCCAACAGTGCAGCCTTGTGGATTCTGTGCCGCTTCATCAGCAAGAAAAATAAAGCCATCATTTTCATGATCAACCTCTCTGTGGCTGACCTTGCTCACGTGCTGTCCTTACCCCTCCGGATTTACTATTACATCAATCACCATTGGCCTTTCCAGAGGGCCCTTTGCCTGCTGTGCTTCTACCTGAAGTATCTCAACATGTATGCCAGCATTTGCTTCCTGACGTGCATCAGCCTTCAAAGGTGTTTCTTTCTCCTCAGGCCTTTCAGGGCCAGAGATTGGAAGCGTAGGTATGATGTGGGCATCAGTGCTGCCATCTGGGTCATCGTGGGGACTGCCTGTTTGCCGCTTCCAATTCTGAGAAGCGTTGGCTTAGCCAACAACACTGAATCCTGCTTTGCTGATTTAGGGCTTCAACACATTAGCATGGCTTCCTCCATTGGCTTGGTGACTGTAGCTGAACTTGGAGGGTTTGTGCTACCTGTTGTAATTATTACTTATTGCACATGGAAAACAAGAAAATCTTTACAGGAATTCCAAGATCCCCCTCAGAATACCAAAGAGAGAAAAAAGGCTTTGTGGATGGTCCTGATGTGTGCAGTGGTGTTCATTGTGTGTTTCACGCCTTACCACCTCAACTTCCCATTCTTTATGATGGTGAAGCAACGTGTCTTTTCAAACTGCTCCTTTATTAAGAGTACTCTATATTTCCATATCATTTCCCTATGTCTTGCAAATCTAAATTGCTGTCTTGATCCAGTTGTATATTACTTTATGACCTCAGAATTCCGTGGTAGATTTTCGGAACATGGTGGCTTGGTTTTTCAGTCATGTGTGAAATGCAAGGACAATGCTTTGGAAATTCATCACAGGAAGGAGGATCTTCAAACTATCTCTCTTGAACTTTTGGATGATTCCAAAATAATGTAATCAAATAATTAGCTTAGACTAATCTATATTCTCTGTTGGTTTAGCTATGTTATCTTAAATATTTTTCTTAACAAATGGTGTTGTTGAGTGCCTCGACAAAACATGGTCCTCTTCCCTTGCTCCTCAAAATGATGATTCTGAAAGAATTATTCATGACTATATTTTCTGTCCAAATGGAAAAATATTGTTCTATAGAAAATATCTTTCTTTATAGAAAGGGATGAGCAACAGAATGAATTGCACACCTGTTCCTCAGCAGTGAGTCCAATTTTTTCGCCTTCTCCTCTAAGAAACAAAATGTAAATTAAAAACAGTTGGACAAAGGTGAATTGTCCAAACATTCAAAAATATACAGGAGAACAATATGATTCTAGCTTCATCTAGAAAGTATACACTAATTGAGCAAAGTAGATTAATGAAGAAAGGCTTATTAATATTAATAGGAGTTATGGAAATTAATATCCTTATAACTTAGAATATGTATGATACTTGCCTTTACTCCCCTTGAGCAAACAAACAATTCATGTTAATCCCAAATATCTCAAAAATATAATGAGATTCACACACAACACATTCAATTTAAACAGAAAATAAAATTGTGCTCTAACATGTTTCACAAACTTCACAGTTTCAGGGTTTGCAATGAAAGCTCTTTACTTGGATGTCTGTGAGTGTGTGTGATGTTATATGTGCTTTAGTGTATTGGCATTTACCCAAAAAATATTTTATTATATTTGTTCATTAAAATCAACTATTTCACGGTCTACCTAGATTAATTCCTCTATATACAATCTCATCCACAACTCCTCAATAGATTTAAACAATGAGTTAATGAAGAATCACACTCATGCATATAGTTTTTCAGTTGGACCTCATTTCTCACAAGTAAAAGTAAATGTAAGGAGGATATTGGTGAATTGAATCTTATTATAAAGGTAGAATGAAAAATTGCTATTTTAAAAGTTTCTGTGGTTAAATCATTTTGTAATACAAATCATTCTCATTGGAAAATTTGAAATTTAAAATTTCATACATTGGGTTTCATTAAAATGGTATTTTGAAAAGCATTGGTTAGTTTTATAAAATTATAAATACACTTTCTTGTCTTTATAAGATTGGAAATTCACAAAATGTTTTATTTGTGGGAAAATCTTTTTGTAATAATGATTGCCTATCAAAATAAAAACAGATAATATTTACTACAGGGGAAAAAAAAACCAGGGTAAAACCTAGGTTCTCTGAAGACATCTAGGGATATGTATTTTAGAAAGTTATATTCTATAGAAATGATTCAGCTCCTTAAGCACCTGAACATTTAAAACACCATTTTAGATGCAATTGTTTCTAAATTATATTCTTTCCTACTCACTTAAGCAGTTTGTTTTAAACAAGTGAACACCGTGTATGAAATAAGCATTAATCCAGATTCAGAGGACAACGATCCTAGTTTCAAATCTGCCAGCTATAAGCTATGTGACTTTTGGCAATTTACTTCTCTTTGAGTTTAAGTTTTATTATCTGTCCCTAAAGGGGCTAGACGAGATGATCTCAGTGTGAGGCATACTTCTTGGAAAATGCTTTCTAAACTCTAAAGCACTTTACAAATGTGTGTTGTTGTTATTATTAGTATTAATATTGTTATTATTTAAGAAGAGCTTTGACTCTAATATTTAACGTAATCTTTTCATAATGACTGAGGGTCATCATTAAAAACATCAGTTATTGTACTGTATACATTTGCTTCTCTCAAGGCTTGCTTGTATCTACACTAAAACGGCCTCACGGATTTTCAGTTATTATATATTTGATTTTATAAGTGCTCTTTTCTCCACCTTTTCAGGCTATCTGTTCTTACTTCTTGCCATTGTCAGTGAGCTTGTCTAATTATGTCCCCATCCTTTCAATTAGTTTTTTCTAAGATTAGATTGTGGCTTTGAAAACACCTTCACTAACCAAGCTAGTTCTAACAGAGTTTAAATTTAACAAAAATGAGTAAAAGCTTTCTTATTTTATTTTATTTGGAGATTGTGTGTTTGGAAAAGGGAAAATCTCCTATGGAACAAAGTGTATGGATTTTAGTTTATGGACTTTACGACATCTATTTTGGCTATTCAGGACTATTTTGCTTCCTTCCTGGCTCTGTCGGCTGTGTTTGAATAACTGAGGTTGCCAAATATTTGAGTTCCGGCTCACCAGGGTGTGACTAGCCATTTATGACACCTAAAATTTCTTGGAGTATAAATATTGCCAGCTTACTATATATACATATTATATATATTATTCATATATATAATATAATATATATAATTAAATTTCCAAAATCATTACTTGTTTCATTAAGAAATGGTTTGTTTAAAACTGTTTTATTGCTTTTAGAGAAGTTATTTTCCATTTTCCATAATGCTCTTGAAAAAGCATAAACTCACTCTGGCCATTTCTCCTTTCCTCTTTAAGGCTATTTGGTAGAAATTCACTTACTTATTTGAAGTCCTATCTGAGATAAAGTCAAGTCCCACATAACGATATTTTGGTCAACATTGGACTGCATATATGACAGTTGTCCCATAATATTAGTACCATATAGCCTAGGTGTGTTGTAGGTTATGCCATCTAGGTTTTTGTAAGTATACTCTGATGTTTGCACAATGACGAAGTCACTTGATACATTTCTCAAAATGTATCTCTGTCATTAAGAGACATATGATTGTACATTAATTATTTTTTGGAAATTTACTTATTATTATCATGAGAAATGTACATTATCCAAAAGCTTTGGAAAAGCAGAGAAAACATACTGGCTTGCCAACTCCCTTGAAGTTATCAGAATTCTCCAGAAAGCTCCAATTTACTCCCACTTTTAGAGGAGTGGCTATGTGCAGTCATCTTGATCCAGTATTTCTGCGGCCAGGCAAATAGCCAACCCTATCCCTTTACTCCCTCTTTCCCAAAATACTGGAGTTCCTGAGTTCTAAGAATGGCAAGTTGAATCTACAGTTGTAACTGACTGATAATTAGGTAGAGTTGGGTTCTAGTACTATCTCTGAGCTTTCTTAACTGTGTGATCTGGAGCAAGACATTTTACCACTCTGAAACTGTTTCCTCACCTGCAATATGGTGATAATAATCTCTGCCCTTTCTGATTCACAAGACTCTTGTGAAAACCTTATAAGAAATGTAGATGAGAATTATTTTTAAACTAAAATTATTATTTAAACATAGGATATAGGGAGAGGTAATATTAAGAAAGGAATCAGGAAAGGAGATAAAAAATCCCCCTCAATCAATGACAACACGGAGGATATTATTAAAGAATTTAAACAACCTATTGGCGTCATAGAAAATATAAAGGTTTGAAGTAATACCCAGGGTCAAGGTAATACTGGCTGAGGCCCCTGAGGGTAACAGAAAGAGCCATTTACCTTGTCTGCTACCATGAGTTTGTTAGGTCCAGCCTTTCAGAGGAGAGAATTATGATTAGGGTTAAGGATTTCTGAAGAAATCAAATATAAGAGATTCACCATAGCCAGAGGGAAACAATGAAGATACAATAGGGCACAGTCAGTGTTTCTTACTGATAATTCTGTAGATGGAAGGCAAGGTGTCCAGAACTTTGGGAAGAAATAGATTTGAAACAAATCTAGAGGAACCTACAGTTCTAAAGGGTAGAGCTGAGGGCAGGAAGAGGTTACCCGGCAGTATTGTTTGGACACGGATACATTTGTTGAGGGGCATTTAAAAGTTCAAAGTACTTCCTTCATTCGATGCAGTTCTACAGTCTGGTCTGGTTAACCATATTGGATAATAAAATCTGCAAAAATGTGAAATACGCAAAAACCCAAAGTCTCCAGAAAAAACCTTGAACATATACACTTCTGCCTTTGCTCACACTGTTTCCCTGTCATGTATGCCTTTGTTTCTCTTCTCTGTCTATACAGTCTTACAGATTATTTAAGATTCAGCTTAAACTCTACTTAATTGTAAAACCACATCATCTTCTCTATAAAGTCCTTTAGGGCACTCATGAAGGATAGTGCAATATGTTGTACTCCATAACATAGCGAAATTGAACCTGATTTCCTATAGTGATATTAAGACTTTGGTAGATTCTGTTGCTAGATTAATTAAGGCTTACATATTTCTTTCTCTATGGGAGACTGTATTCCACGTATAACCCAGGGAGTCTATTGGTACCTGATCTAGTTCTCTCAGCACCATGCAAATAGTCAGTGCTCAATAAATGCTTGTTGATTGATTTAAAAGAGAATATATAGTAATTTGTTAGATATCTAAAAGACTGGCTCCTATAAAGCTGACATCAACAAATGTCACAAGGTTTATGCACTCATTCTGTCTGTCTCTAATTACCATGTTAACCACTAGGACTTAAAGGCCTGAAAAGGGATTCTTTTTCCACCCACAACTTTATCGAGGAATAATTAATAAATATAATTATATGGATTTAAAGCATACAACATGATGATTTGATATACATATACAATGATTATCTGCCACTACAGTCACTGTATCTTTGCAGATTAGTTGAATTTGTTGAATATAAATGAGGCCAAAGTCTGGTTGGCTCTTAGTTAACTAGGTAACCATATTACGGAAGACTCCAACTTTTGTAGTTCTGTAAAATGTGTTTGTAAACTGTGCATTAAATTTTAAAACATTAAAAAGTATTTCTGGAAGGTTGATTGCTTTGATGTTGTGGTTGTTGCTATTTAAAAAAAGAACAATTTATTCCTTTTTTCCTCAGTAGGGAAGTGGGAATGTGAAGAAGTGGGTGCAGAATAAAGATAATACCTCGCAGGATTTGTTACTCTTTCCCTCTTTCATCTATATTCCCAGTTCTTTTATTTCTGATGAATTCAATAAAGTGTCGATAAAATTATACCTGTGTGAGTTCCATCCAAGTTGTTTATAGTGTCACCTTTTCATCTTTTCTCTAGTAGCCAAGAATCTGCTCTTGCTCTTGCTTCCACTCCAGCTCCAGTTCTAACTTACCATTCTGTAGTCACTCTATTTCCTTTGGGCCATTATTCTCCTTGCCCAGTGGTGGTTGCCCAGTTAGATTCTCATTGTACTTCTGTGGGTTTGGCCCACCTGGAAGTCAACGAGAAGTTACTGCCTTGATCACATTCTAGGGCCCAACATTTGTGAAACTGGGTTAATAGAATAGCAAGTATGGAAGGGAGGAGTAGGCCACAAAAGGATCACATACAGCCTAGATCTAGGATGGGCGTGGGCATACAAGGAAATCTTAACCCTTGTTATTGGTAGCTTATAGGCTGGTTGTATATTAACCTCAAATTGCATTTAGCATCACCACTTAGTTCCCTACCTCTACATATTTCCTTTGGCATCCACCGCCAATGGCAGAAAAATGGAGTCCTTGGCCTGGCATCTAGTCTAGCCCTAGCCTCCTTTACCTAGCCCCATCTCCATCCATTTCTCTACTCCTGCCAAATTAGTTTTTTTCATTCTCCCCCAGGCTTTTCCATCTCTGTGCCTCCTGTCCTTTCTTGCAAGAAGACATCCTCTGCTCTTCAGCTTATTAAAATCCCAGCATCCTTTAGATGATCCCACCTGATTCAGGAATGTATCTCTATTCTTATTATATTCAGTGACGTCTCTTCCCTTTGTGTTCCTTTAGCACCAATTGGCTGGGCCACACTTATTATATACTTAGCATACCTGGCATAGAATATAAATCAGAAAGGCTTGGCAATTGCCTCTATAAAACTAAGAGTTGCGATACAGGTAGAAAGAGACAGAGAGCAGAGGGGAGTTTTGTAGGAGACCTGACTTGATTCTGCATTTGCAGAATCAAGAAAATGCTATCTGTCAATATTACGGAATGAAGGAGTAGGACCTGATGGAAAGAGTGAGAGCTAAAAATCCTCTCTTCCCCCCATAACATTCCTTGATGTAGCCATTGTCAAATTCCCTAGTTTCAGGGGAAGAAACAGAGAGAGTCAAAGCATCAGAGTTCTATAGTAAGTGATCCCACAGTAACTAGTGTTATAATAGGGACTCAGATGCAGTTATCCTGATTCCCAGTCCTGTTCTCTTTCCGCTAACTTATGCTACATTTTGAGTTATTTATTTAACTTTATGCATGTTGTTTTAATTTTATTACTGAAACTCTGAGTTCCCTAGAGGCAGGGACTGAGTCATACTCATCTCTATTTCTTGCAACATAGTATAGCACAGAACTTGGGCACCAGGTAAATAATTTATAAATAGTTGCTGGTTGATAGATTTATTTTGAAAGTCCCTAACTAGTTTATATTTTTACTTTACAATTACTCAACTTCTATTGATTTAAATAATCATAAAGCCCCAGAAGGCAAAATGGAGTGTTCTTCGATGTATGTATACCAGCATTGTGAAGCAAAGATTGCCAATTACTATCTATGGATCCTTAAGTCACCGTCCCTCTCTGGGCTTTTATTTCCTCATTTTTATAACCACAGAGGTGCATTACATGTTTTCTAAGCTCCCTTTCAACTCTAGCACTTCAATAAAACTAATTTCTCATTTTAAAAATTGTCTTTAAAAATCTCGTTGTAATAATTTAACACTTTACATTAGCAAAATATGGCATAACAATTACTATCGTAACAAGATGCAAAAACCAAAGATCACATTAGATCAGTTTTAGCTGATTGAACATCAGAATGATGAATCAAGCCTCACTCTGCCAAACAGATTGATTTCACTTTATCTCTGTCTTCTTTGTGTTCTAAATGAGGAATTATTTATTTCTATCCTTCCTTGGGCATTAAAGTTGGACAATCCTGGGCTTAAATGTCAGCTCCACCTTTAACTATTTGACTTTGTGTGAGTTACTTGGTCTCTCTATGATTTGGTTTCCTCCCTGGGAATTGAAGCTAAAAATCCTTACCTTACAAAATTGTCGCGAGGATAAAGAGAATACATGAAACCTCTTAGTACAATGTATGGTACCTAGTAGGTATGCAAGGCATCCTAGTGATGGCAATCTATATCATGTGTAATTGGTATTACTAAGGAGTTGGCTTTTTATTGCATCTTTTTAATGTGATTCTAATACTACATTTTACCAACCTTCAGTTAAGCTTGCAGATTGGGAGATGGGAATGGTGAAAGAATATAGGATAATCGCCTCCCTCGACATTCCTGTCAGCATATAGTCTATCAATTCAGGTTTAAGATCTACAGAAGAAAGAGGGGAAGAAATTAAAAATGGCAGGAGGTGTGTTTAGAAGTGGCTCCAATGAAATAGAAGCATGTGAAAAAATTGTAAGCAGTCAAAAGAATTTGTATGAGCTGGCTCCCAACACATGCGGACCATCTAGTCCTCTGCATAAAAATAGAACTCTCAGTATCTAATAACAGATGCTGTGAACGTATCTAATCTTGTTCATATGCAAATAAGCCCTGGGTGAGATAACTATTTCCAGGGAAATTGAAACTTACTCTTATTTAAATTTCTGAATTCTACTACTAGTAATTGTGTCTTCATGTCTTGGTTTGACTCAGTTTACAAATTTGATGTTTAACACTCAAAATTTGACTCAGGGTGACAGAGAGCTGGCATGATCAGGTTTAAAAACAAGAATAAAAATGAAAAAAAGAAAAAGAAAGAAAGAAAAAGAAAGAGACTTGAGGAGAAGGTAGATAATAAAGTTGTAGAAAGAAACCAATTCACCTCCCTATATCCTAAACTTGAGCCCAAACTAACCTTGAACCAGCAAAATGGCAATAATTACCCCAATGAGAACTCCAATTATTTGCAGTCCTCCAGGCCTGGATTCTGTTCTGTTCCTGTTTCCTCTCTGGCTCTGACTCTGTTACTGATGAACACGTGCAAGAGACTGAATTTCCTGATAATTATGAGAGAAAGTATTGCTGCTGTAGAGGAAAGAGCACTGGCCCAGGAGTTAGGAGGCCCAAGGTCTAGTCCATGCTCTGCTGCTTATTTGCTGTGTCCTGACACAAATCATTAGCTCTTTCTGGGCCCAATTTCCTCTTCTGCCAAATGAGAGGGTTGGGCTTTATGGTCTCTGGGATCGTTTCTAGTTCTGCGATTCAGTGACTGTAAAGGAAATATCAGATTTTCTCAGAAAAGTCCAGCTGCACTGATGCAAGTGTGTGGGGCATGGGAGAGTGGTAAGGCACAGTCTCTGGGCTAGAGGAGTGAATGCTACAGAAGGTTACAATTTCAAAGAAGCAAACATTAAAGGATGATATGTTTTACGGCTGCTGATACTACAGGCATGCTCTCTCATTTATCCTCCACTTATCTGGACCCATGTGGACCAGAAGGAACAGTACGTGGTCAGGGGACAACTAGTGAGATGCAAACAGGGGCTGGACCCAAGTCCAGTTAAACTGGGAAGTTGGAAATGCCTACCCTCTTCCTTTTGTTTTTGCAGAAAGTTCTATTAAAAATGGCTTTGAAACGTTAATGCAAAATGCAAGCTGCAAAACAATGTGCACATTACAATTTTATTTTTCTTTATAAGTAACAGGAAGAAAACACACCAGAGTCATAGCAGTGATTATCTCAGAGCAAAATAATTTTCTTTTCTTTTCTGTGCTTTTATACATTTTACTATAAACTTAATGGACTCCTCACTCCACTCTTGAGTCATAGAACCTATTCTTCATTGAGAACTCAGAATATCTTTTTCTAAAAATGTGAATCAGGTCAGGTAAATCTGTTGCTTAGAAGCCATCAGTAGCTTCCTATCACACTTGCAACACAAGCCAAACTCTTTACTACAGTCAAAAGACTCTCCATGATTTAGCCCCTGACATTTTTTAAGGAATTACTTTCCTATCACTTTCCCTTGCTGGTCTACTCTATTGGCTCTTCTTTGAACTCCTGAAGCTAACTACCACCTCAAGGTCCTTACCTGAAATGCTCTTCCTGCAAATTTTCACATAATTCATTCATTTTCATTCTCGTTCTCAGTTTCAAAGTTACTGAAACACAGAGGTCTCCCTTGAACCCTCCAGTTTAAATTAGTCTCCCTTGTTCTACACCCTCACAGTACTCTGTACTCTTCCTATTTAACGTTTGTATAGATTGTAATTACAATAAAATATAAATTTATTTTATTCCTCTATCCCCTACTAATCTGTAAGCTCCTTGAGGGTAGAGTCCTTGTCTCTCTTGCTCACCACTGTGTCTCCAGAGTCTAGCACTATGCATGGAACACATTAGGTACTCAATAATGCTTGCTGAATAAATAACTGAATGAATGACTCAATCAATGTGCATTATTTTTGCAAGTAAGAAGAAAAATGGAGGGCACAATTGTGGTGAAGATTCTGTTTCTACAGCACAGTCTTGTTGGTTTGTGTCCTCAGTATAAAGGACAAGACCATTTCTGACAAGGAACTGGATCTAGAGAACACATCTTCCTTAACAGTGTGGTTGCTATAATTTTGTGCAACCCAAGTGTCTAGGTTCTCCGAGGACTTGCTGCTAGGTTAATTGATTCTAACTACCTATTCTGCCTTACTAGTTAGTTACTTACCTAGGGATAATATTCTAAGCTTTTATTAAAGAAAAAGCTACCCTAAATCAATGAATAGGTTGCACTTTCCTTGAGTTTCTGACAAAGTGAATAAATTGGATAGGAAGAAATGAGATTAAGGACCCTGTGGCGTAGGCTTATATGTAATTTTCTGTTATGACAAACAGCAAAGAGATTGCAATGTCAGTAAGGTTGTTTAAGAAGAACCACAAGGTCCCACTATTTCTCTGCATTGCTCTCTGCACCCAAAGGCATACTGGAAAGAAAAGTGATTATTTGGATTTGATGACAAGAAAAAGTCTCTTAAGAAAGCTTCTTTCTGATAGACAATGAATCCATTAGTAGTTACTTACTTGAGGGT